TTGGTGCATTTAAAATCTCTTTAGAAAATAAAAACAAGAAAAAATCAGGGTGACAGAGGTAAAACATTTTGCCCCTCTCCCTTATCTTCACAATACTTTCCAAGCAACATCCCACAGTGTCATGTGTAGGGAACCTTAAACCCAAGATTAAATGACATAACTTACAAATAACTACAATAATTAAGTATAATTCCCCCAAATTAATAACGAATAATGTCTAATAACTCTTAACAGTAAAGTAACTGCAAAACAAAAATTAACTATAAAGCGTCTCAAATAAGTATAAGTAATAATAATAATAATAAGTAAATATCAAAATAACACAAAAAAATGAGTCTCCTACACTGCTCTTTAACCATTAGTGGTGTGAAACATTCTGTAGTTGTGCTAACACAAGGTTGTTGGTTCACATTTAATGTAATGGTTCACATTTAATACCCAGACTCCGGCCATCTCAGGGAAGATGGCCTAAGTTTATTAACTGTATCCTGCGGCTGTGGAGTTTGCAAACATTGATCTGTTCATCCTCTGACCACTTGAGGACTCAAGTCAGGCTAAACCTAAGACTCATGCCACCCTTTGTGGCAGTTATTTCAACTTTTCAATTACAACAACACATTTGTTAAGGAAGAGTGGCGGCCTAGTGGATAGGACATAGGGCTTGTGAGTTTTAAACCTACTCCCACAGACTGCCACTCTGGATCTCTGAGCAACCCCCCGATTACCAGGTGTTTTTTCAGGTATGGGAACACCTAAAACACACTGGACATTATGTCCCCAGAACCAAAGTTAAAGACCAGGTTAAGTCTTTGCCTTCAATGCAATAAACGTAGTGGAGGGTGACCCCTTCATCTTGTCCAATATGTCTGGTTTTATGCCGACAGCTCTGCAGGACAGATCACAGCTTTGATGCAGTCATGGTCTTCCAGTCCATTACAGGATCACCTTATCTGATTGGTTGACACTCACCTCAAACTGAAAAACAGTCTGACAGTTTGGACGCAGGTCAACACTTGAAAGCTCCCAATGTGCCGAAGAGGTAAAACAGGCCTAAATGGTAGAATTTCATGTAAACCAGGAGCCACTGACACTAAAGTAATTTCATCCCAATGCAGCATGAGGAAAAGACTAGAACAACAGAGTAAAAGACACTAAAATTAATTTAACATGTCAGAGATTTCCAGAAAAAAACACAGATTTTATAAACTGGTAATGCAGTTATCAACCAGATATCTATAAATGTTTCATTGCTCACTTTCAGCTGCTACAAACAGCTAGCAGGTAGTGGGAAATGACAGATATGACAGATAGCGAGTAAACACTCCAACCACCCGCCTAACATGTAGCCACCATGGCCTGTGGGTGGGGCTACACTGCTTTGACACCTCCAAAAGTCATTTTAAAGTGGGCTCATTCTTGATTGACTGGTGAAAATTGTAGGTCTACTTTCTCCCCTGAAAACATCTTGAAAAATTTTTTTAAGTTTATATTTTATAACTTCATTTACTCTGAGCCTTCTTTTATTACATACTTATGACTGTAACAGTACTTTAACCCCTGTTGATGAAATTTCAAAAGTACGCAAGTTTACAATTACAGAAATGTAAACATAAGCTACATCCTGAACCATTCAACTGAAAAATATCTGTAAAGTTGTTTAAACAAGCTTTGATGACAAAGTGGAGGTCCAAGCCTTTCTAGAGGACAGTGCAGCGTTGCCTGGTCCTTTCTAACCTGTGATGTGATGTCAGAGCTGCAGTGAATGCTGGGAAATGTAGTTCTACTCTGGGGCGACAGTGGCNCTCCCATGTCAGAGGATGAAGACAGCACATCCAGTTAGTCACAGTCAGAGAAACAGGATTACACTGAAGAACAGGCCGATCTCCAGCATCTATAAACAAAGGTGTTGATGGAAGCAGCACAACTTCCATCAACTATGAGCAATGCCTTGAAGGCACAAACTGAATAGCTCACAATTTATCATTTATGGTACGGCAGTATTCATAACATTTAGGCGAATCACCGTCACCCAGACATCCGCATATTTATGTTTTTAAAAAAAAAAAAGACGTCATCCGCGTACTGGACTGGAGTCATAACAGGCAGCCCGGGCCACAGGCGGCTACGCTCTACCCCTTCTATTAATTCGGCTACCTAATCTGAATCGTTCAATTCCATTTTGAGAGCGAGATCATCTGTATTACTAGCACTAGACATCTTCTGCATGTGAATTAAACTAGCAGCAGTTCAGTGGACAGAATGAATGAATGGTAGCCGGCGTGCACGGGTGACTTCAAACACGCACCGCTTTGTTTTTAAAACATATAAATATAAAAAATATAACCGCATGTCTGGGGGACAGTGATTCGACTACATATTATGAATGCTGGCGTACCATAAATGATAAATTATGAACAGTTTAGTTTTGCCTTCAAGTATTTTGCCCCTAGGAATACGTTACTTGGAAATAACCTAATGGAATATCTTCAGAACAGCTCCAAATGACACAAAACTCATATGGGTGAGCAGAACTTGATGTAATAACGTAAAATCAAGGGCTCAATGTAAAAAAAAAAAAAAAAAAAAAATGGCTTTCCCCTTTAAGGCAGTACTGCAGAACTAGCAACCCCATAAACAAAATCATCAACCTGTGAAGTGGAATAAACTAAACATTAACACTATCTGATAATGATCTGCTAAAGTGAAACCTTCTTTTGGGGTAGGAGAACTCTGTTAAAGTAATCCTGAAGGTTATTAAAATATGGTCAAAGAGGACAGGGTTGTGAGGAAATACTGTTATTTCTTCACATTCTATGCCATATGTCAGCACAAGGTCTAAAATATGAAGATGAGACTGTGTAGGACTATTCACATTTTGAACACAGCCAATAGATTCTAAGATAGCAATAAAGGCTGTTCTTAAGCTATGGATGGTAAAATCCCCCACTATGATGACCCTGCCAGTATTTAACACCAAATCAGGTAGGTACTCTAAAAACTCATCTAAAAATTCAGAGTCTGGACCTTTAATTATTAACTGCCTTTGGAGTAATCATTAAGTCATACTGAAAGCAGTTGCTGCTACTCCTCACCAATGAATTCTGTTTTTTGAAAATAAATAACTTGAAGGAGTTGACTTCAGAGCGTTAAAGCAACTTGACCACTGTTTAATCTAATGTCCAGATTTCTGCGTCTGTGTATTTTTGATACCCACGTCTCCGGTTTGAACGCAGTATTACAGCGTGTGCAAACCACTATCACCAGGTGCCCGGAAGTATTCCCATACTTTGGATACTTTCGGTCTTCAAGCTAACAGATGCCTCCCGCCTCGATTCAGACTCACCCGACGGTGCCATTTTCATCTCGCGCTCAAAACAAGAACCAACAGTAACAGAAGCTCGTGACACGAGAGGAAATAGAGCCAATTTATGGAGCCAAAAATGTGCTGTGTAGTGGAATTTTCTGAACTCAGATGAGTCTCAGATGTGACCAAAATAAATAGATAACAGGCTGAGAAAAATTAGAATGAATTTTCATCGTCGATTTATGTTGTCACTAGCTCTCACGTAATGCTTCTAGATAGAACTGAGGTGTTGGCAAACAGCGGCACCGGTTGGAGAGAGCAGAGCTGTGACCACCAAAGTTGTTGAATTTTTTTTTTTTTTTACTTAAGATGTAATATAGAGAAAATAAAGTTAACAAAAGTAGAAATAAGGAATGATCTCGATTTTGTTTAGGTGGCTTTAAAAATAACTTTTTTTAATTTAGCCCTATCCACTGGGATCCACAGGTCCATAAAGGTATAACCTTCTGCCTTTTATTCATCAAATAATTTTTTTTTAAACAAAATTCAAGATCCACTTGGCCCCATTATTTTGTCAATTATTTTCCTTGTTTAATAATCTATTTGGATTTGGCTTTGTTGACTAAATATAT